TCTCTCTCTCTCTCTCTCTCTCTTCAATTGTGATAAAACTTTGAGTTTAATTTCGAAATATTTAATGGTTGCGGTGAACGAAAAGTAAAAAGTTGGAATCAATATTACGGTGGGTTATATTATACCTTGAGTTACTACAAATTATTTTATACAAATTACACTTTATAATAGTTCAATAAAAAAATTACACTTTATGAATTATTTTAGCATTTTAAATATAATATTTGTGTAATGAACCCTATTTGTTTAAAAAGGAAAACTCACGGATATAATTGTTTAATAAATGTGTTTTTTTAGCAGTTATTTTATAAGTACCACTACATAGGTCACATGCCTTGGGGGATTTAAATAACTATTGGCCCTCTGAATTGTTACTTTAGTGACCCTCTGATGGTCCCTTACCTTGGGGATTTAAATAACCATTGGCCCTCTAATTAGTCACTTTGCGACCCTCTATTTGTCATGGATCCATTGACCCTCTGTTCTGTTTTGTTCTACATCGTGGTTATGATTATTTTGTTTATATAATTTCTGCTTTTCTTATTTAAAATGATTTACGGATATGAAATTATTCTTTATTTAGCCAAATAATTATCCATGGTGACTTTTATATACTTATGCTCTTAGGATAATATTTCTTACTCTGCTTGTGCCATGTACTTATAGTTGTTAAACCCTTTCAGGTAAAGTAGCAGGATCAGTGCAAGGGATAGACACAAGGCACTTTGTAGATATAGACTAGCTTTGACAATGTCAATAAATAAAAGCTCCAATGTATATTTTTAATTAAATAAATATTTTGGTACCTTTTTATTTTACTCCGATGCATTATTAATTTGACCTCTTGGTACCAGGTTTAGGTCGTGACAAAATATGTTGTGTTTCTTCTTATTAGCACGTCAAACTACATGAGCGGTCATGCTAATGCTCAAGTGCCGATTTGAAGCATCCAGTATCTCAGCCTGAATTCCGAGATACTGAGAGATGTGTTTTATCACTTGAGCGGTAAGTCTTGCGCTCTAGCGAAGTAACAAGTGAAAGTTGTTAGCACCGCCCCTATAGACAAACCACTTGAGCGGTCATTCCTATACTCGAGCGATCCTTGTGACTCTAAATTGTTTATACCTGTCTCAGATGCTCATTTTAGGGTTTAACGTTTCTAGATTTATCTTTGAATATTGAAGAACTATAGTTCTATCTTATAGAGAGTTGATACTTGTTTTCTCTTGATGGATTGTTGATGATTGTCGCATATCATGGATTTGATTGAATAAATCAAAAGGCCTTGATTAAATTTACTTTTCTTAGCATTTATCCGGTAGAATTTGGACTGAGTTGGAGTATGTGGATTCAAGTTCAACAATGAACAATCCTGGATGAAGAGTGGGTGCTAAAGATGTTCTAGAGTCTCCAAGTGCTTGTGTGGATTCATAAATGGTAAGCTTGGTTAGGTCTTTTGTAATATTCATTCTTTCTTTTTAGTGAATTTGTTCATTCTTCTTGGGTTGTGGTTCTTTTTCTTTTTCTTTTTTTAATCACAATTAGATTCCATGTTATATCTTTGTGTCGCCTTTGTTGATTGCTTATAGATAATTTAAATCACTTTCGTATTGGCTTGATAATTTAGATTATTGTCTATTTTGGGAATTGCTTTCAATTGTTCTTGATTATTAGATGATAAATCATGAATCACATTACATAGGGTTTTTTACAAATATTTTGTTATATTTTATTTGACTTTTTTATATAATTTTTTGGTTCAAATCTAAATAGTTATATTTTTATTTTTGTATATTTTTATCTCTATTTTCCTGTTGTTCATATCCGAATAGTTATCTTTTTATTTCAAAATTATTTGAATTGTAATTTTTTTATTTAAATATTCTTTTAATATTTTATTTGACAGCATAGATAGATAGATAGATAGATATTAAAAAAAAAAGACAATTATTTCTTTTTAAATTTGATAATTATCTATTTTTTATATCTTATCAGAATGATTTTAGAAATTTGTTAATTTTATTAGTTTTTAAGTGATTTTATCAGTATTTTTTTGTTAAGTTATTTAGAGTAATTAAAAATTAAGAAAATGATTAAAGTGGACTGCAGAGAGTGCCATGTAAGAGAAAGAATGCATAAGAAGTTAGCATTGAGAATTTGGAGAACTCTCATGCTCCACTAGATTTATTTATGTATATATAGTATAGGTAGATTTATGACACTACAACAAAAGTTGGCTATAACCACGTTTGTTAGACAACGTTTTTTGAAAAACGCTGTGGAATAAAGTGAAATTACGCGTTATCCTTTATTATAAACACGCGTTCCATTTATAACAGTGCTCACTCTCCCCTAGTCTTTATTTCTCTTATCGTTTTCTCTCACTGTAGTATAGATTGAATGATCTAGGGTTTATGTCTCTCTCCCCAGTCTCCTTGAGAGATTCACCAGGTTCGATTGCGATGACTTGTTCAGATCTAATTCTAAATCCATCGATTCTTGAATCGATTTGGTTGAAATTTCTTGACGGTTTTTGTTTTTCTTGATTCTAATTCTGATAATTTTGCAGAGGAAGATAGACCAGTTGAGTGAAGAAGGATCGAGATCAGTGGGATCAAGACAGGAACCGGGACCGAGATCGGTCGAGTCGGAGCAAGGGGAGGAGAGGAGATAAGTTGATTCACAGGAGTAATAGAGAAGATGGTGGTGAGGACAGTTCAGAGGAGAGCGTGAATGATGACGATGACGATGACGATGACGATGGAGTCGCCGCCACCGCCGCGGTGAGGATGTTGCCGCCTAATCCAACGACGTCGATGTGGTCTTCATTACTGAACCACCACCATCAGCACCGGAAGAGCTTTCCTCTGCAACTACAAAATCGTCGATGTCGTCGATGTCATCTTCAATGTATCTCTTTAATTAATTGTCAATGTGTAAATTTTAAACTTGGCCATCCTCATTTCATGTCTTTGTTAGTTCAAGAGGTTTGACAAAAATTATATTATTTTGCTCTTATATGTTGATGATATGCTTATCGTAGGATCTAGCATTGAAGAGATAAAAAGATTGAAGAAAC